GGGAGTCCTAAAGTCACATAAGAAAAAGCACTATGATTCATGGGATATTCAATGATTACTCAGGTGTCAATCCAGAAATGACTGCCTTAGCTATAGAACTGAAGAAGAGAAGAAGTAACAAGGGGGCCTAGAGGCACCAGAACAAGTATCCAATTACTGAATCTGATAATCACCTGACCATAATTACATAACCAAATTTCTGCTATGGAAGCCTCACTTTACAGCTTAGAAGATCCAGAGGTCCAGATAATTACGGCAAATAACACCAATTAACAGCTTTACACCTGCTAGTGGATTTGGAATTTTTGGATGGCAGAAAAGCTCACCTCCCCAACAGCCGCCTCCGGGGTTTCGGCGAAGAATCGCCAAAGAGAATTCATCCAATCTGCAAAGACTACAGTGATAATATCGATTAGACTTTGCTCAGAACAGATCCGAATGCCAATAGTCAAATACAGTTAGGTTTGGGTGCTCTGTTTCGCACAGAAGGAAGGGAGGAGAAAAGGTGTGCGTACCTGATGCCTTAGGAAGAGGTGAGCCTCCGCGAGCGTCCAGGGAGAGGGGAATCCGTCGCAGTGGCTCTTCATCGTCGGGCGGGAGGAGGACGACCAGGAGCTCAACGACGCATGCGACACCGAGCACTATGGCATCCTCCAGGTCTCCCGTGTCCTCCTCGTCCTCCCCGACGACGCGCTGCCCTCGTCCTCGCCCTCCCATGCCAGATCGGGCCGTGCAGCATCAGGCTCGACGACATCTCCGCCTCCGACACCGTGGCCCGCCTCAAGGAGCTCCTCCAGGAGCGCACCGACAGCGCGCTGCTCCCCGCGAGAATGGCCCTCTTCTTCGGCAAGGCGGAGATGGAGGACGGCAAGACGCTGGCAGACTACGACCCCCGGCCGATGGCATGGACGCGAGCGCCGTCGTGCGCCAGCAGGTCCCCGCGGCGTCGGGTCTCGCCTGCCTACCTGCCGCCGCCGCCTCCCCCGTGCGGGACCAGCGTGTGCTTTGCTTGGTCTGGCGGATCCGGGAGGAGGCGCGGCCGGCCGTCGGGATGGTCTGGCGGATCCGGGAGGAGGCGGCGGAGCGGTTGGTTCAAAGCCGGAGAAGAGGGATCCATGGCGTCCTCGACGCGTCCATTGGCGGCGGCGGCGTTTTGAACGTGTTTTTTTTATTCGGTGATGATTGTGCGTTGAAGCCTGGAGGGTGGGGAGATCCAAATAACGTTCGTCATCGGATCGAGTTGAAGCCTGTGAGGGAGGATTAGGAGCCATATATTTTAATGATGTTAAAATCTTGGGTGCAATTTAATTGGTGCACAATGATTGGCTCCCTCAGCAGGGGACGCATTGTTTGGTGTACCTAAAATAGTTTAGATTGGGTCTATGATTGTAAAAGTTACCACGCCACAAACATGGCTAAATATTGATAAATCAAACGCGTATTTTTGAATGACCACCGTCCAAAAGGAAAGGAAGGGGAAAAAAAGAGAAGAAGTCGTACAGAGGAAAAGAATCTATGTGCCGGTTGATAAATCAAACATGGCTAAATATGTGCCAGTTGACATGCTAATTACCAGATCAAAACCAACATTCCCGCTCAAAGGTTCATTGAGCCCACAGAAAAAGAGGCCCACTAGGCCATGGTTAGTATACATCCACGGCACTACACCGTGGGCTGGGTTAGTTAGTTTTTCTTTTTAGGCCCACCAATTATCTCTCAAAAAAAAAAAAAAACTTGGGTTGCCGATGGACATTGGTTTGCCTACATTGACTGCACGAATATCAGCTGCTACATTTTTTATACAGGAAAGAAACATGTATTTAGCTCATAACTAAAATTCATACGGATTGCAAGGTAAGCTAGAGGAGATTATGAACCAAAGCATAACTATTTTCGGCTTGCATTGTTTCATTTCCTAGTAGAGAAATAGAAATGGAGGCCGGCCGGCCGGAATGGTATACATTTTGGCTCGGCAGCTGCAGCATGCAAGGGGCAGCGCACTATACATAGCATTCTCCATTTTCGTGTGTCGTGTCTGGCCCAGAGCGTCGGAGCACTTCCGATCCTTCCCTGGAATTTCGCACACGCGAGGAGCATCCATTGTTGTTCCTGTTGCTTGTCGATCGTCGTCCCGATCAATCGCCGGTGACCGGATCGATCGAGAGCTTGATGCCGCATGCCGCCACCGACGCTGCCACCGTCGTCCCCGGACGACCCCGCGGAGCCATCGATGGGGCGGGAGATGGACGACGAGGACCTGGTGGAGGAGCTCCTGGTGACCGTGAACTCGGCGCGCGCCTTTGCGGAGTTCCGGCGCACGCAGCGCAAGGAGTGTGCCAACCTCCTACGCTGGCTGCAGCTCGTCCTCCCGCTCCTGGAGGAGCTCCGCGACGCCGCGCCCCGGCTCACCGACGACGCCTACCGCCGGCTCGCCCTGCTCGGCCGTGCGCTCGCCGCCGCGCGACGCCTGCTCCGGTCGTGCCACGACGGCAGCAAGATCTACCTGGTTCGGTTTCGATCGACGACCCTCCGATCAATCACTGCATGCATGCCTTGCCTGACGCTCCTCTCTCCTTTGATTTCAGGCGCTTGAGAGCGAGACGGTGCTGGCCAAGTTCCGCGACGTGTACGAGAAGATGCACAGCGCGCTGGACGGGATGCCGTACGCCGAGCTCGCCATCTCCGATGAGGTCAAGGAGCAAGTAAGCTGGCATGGGCATGTGCATGTGTGTCGATCTCTGCCATTAATTCAGAGTCTTGAATTCCATCCAGGTGGAGCTGATGAACGCGCAGCTGACGAGGTGCAAGAAGCGAACGGACACTCAAGACATGGAGCTGTCAATGGATCTGATGGTGATCCTCCAGAACAAGGAGGAGGAGAGGAACGCCGACAGGGCCATCCTGGAGAGGCTCGCCAAGAAGCTGGAGCTGCAGACGCTGGCGGAGCTGAGGGCAGAGACGATGGCCATAAAGAAGCTCATCAACGACAGGAATAACAACGGCGGCGGGCAGCACGCGGTGGCGGACAGCACCAGGCAGATGGTCGACCTGCTCAACCGCTTCAAGGAGATCGCCGGCGTGGACGAGAAGGACGTCCTGGGCGGCGACGTGTCCATGCCCAAAAGCCTGGACAAGTGCCCCTCCTTGATGATCCCCAACGACTTCCTCTGCCCCATCACGCTGGAGATCATGACGGACCCGGTGATCGTGGCCAGCGGGCAGACGTACGAGCGGCGGAGCATCCAGAAGTGGCTGGACAGCGGGGAGAGGACGTGCCCCAAGTCGCGGCAGCCATTGGCGCACCTGTCCCTGGCACCCAACTACGCGCTCAAGAACCTGATCCTGCAGTGGTGCGACAAGCACATGGTGGAGCTGCAGAAGCGGGAGCCGGAGCCCGCCGCGGAGACGGAGGAGCACAAGGAGGACATCCCGTCGCTGGTGGAAGGCATGTCGTCCATCCACCCCGACGTGCAACGCAAGGCCGTGAAGAAGATCCGGAGGCTCTCCAAGGAGTGCCCCGAGAACCGGACGCTGATCGCCGACAACGGCGGAATCCCGGCGCTGATCGGCCTGCTGGCCTGCCCCGACAAGAAGGTGCAGGAGAACACGGTGACGTCGCTGCTGAACCTGTCCATCGACGACAAGAACAAGGTCCTCATCGCCAGGGGAGGCGCCATCCCGCTGGTGATCGAGATCCTCCGGAACGGCACCCCGGAGGCGCAGGAGAACTCGGCGGCGACGCTCTTCAGCCTGTCCATGCTGGACGAGAACAAGGCGGCGATCGGGAGCCTGGGCGGGCTGGCCCCGCTGGTGGAGCTCCTGCGCAGCAGCGGCACCGCCCGCGGGAAGAAGGACGCCGCCACGGCCATCTTCAACCTGGTGCTCAGCCCGCAGAACAAGGCCCGGGCCACCCAGGCGGGCATCGTGCCGGCGCTGCTCAAGGTCATGGACGACAAGGGGCTCGGCATGGTGGACGAGGCGCTGTCCATCTTCCTGCTTCTGTCGTCCCACGCCACGTGCCGCGCCGAGATCGGGACGACGGCGTTCGTGGAGAAGCTGGTGCGGCTCATCAAGGACGGCAACAGCACGCCCAAGAACAAGGAGTGCGCGCTGTCGGTGCTGCTGGAGCTGGGCACCAACAACAGGGCGCTGCTGGTGCACGGGCTCAGGTTCGGACTCCACGAGGACCTCTCCAAGATCGCCAAGAACGGAACCAGCAGGGCGCAGAGGAAAGCCAACTTGCTCATCCAGCTCGCGCGCAAGCTCTGATCTGACCCCCCTCCCCCCCTCTTTTTTTTTTGTGTGTGTGTGTGATGAGGAGGCGTACAAGTACAATGCAACAACGTCTTTCGGCAGGGCATAGAAATTTGAGAAATTTTGGTGTGCTTGTGTATCCATCGGCCATGGGCCAACAGATTTGTCATGTGTTTGCTACAGTGCTCGTTAGGATAGAAGAAATGGCTAACTTAATTTTTGTTCTGGGCAAATCTGGGAGTGCCTGCATACCAATGCAATGATGCAACACGTAGTGGTGACAACATATGAAAAAATCAGGGCACGCCGATTCAACGTCCAAATCCAAATAAGTACAGAACATTGTTTAGATTTTTTTCTTAAAAATAAAACACGGTCACGCAGCAAATTAGTTATTTTGTTGGAGCAGGGGCATTTGCAATGGGTGAATTGAGGCCCCGCTTAGATCCAAAAATTTTGTAAATATAGTCAAATTTAAGTCATTTTTTGAAGAACTTTTATTAATAAACCAATTATGGATTAAAGGTTTGAAAGTTTCATCAAATGATTTTTGAATAACTGCAAGTGGTCAAACTTTTTAAAAAAAAGTCAAACGTCTTATAATTTGGATGGATTGAGTAGTTATTTTGTTGGAGCAGGGGCATTTGCAATGGGTGAATTGAATCAATTGGGGGCCATTTTTGTCATTGAATTCAATATTTGATTTGACTGGAATTCGGCTTGCATTGCACTCCCCTGTCCCCTCCATGCTGTGCTGTCCAGAACTCCAGATGCTCCCGCTCCGTCGCCCAGCCTCCCTCGCCGCCCGCCGCCTCCTCCGCGACAACCAGCGCATCAGCGCCCTCGCCCGCGCGGGCGATGTCGCCGCAGCGCGCCGGGTGTTCGACTCCATGCCCCACCGTGACGTCGTCTCCTGGAACGCGCTCCTCACCGCGCTCTGGCGCGCCGGCCGCCACCACCTCCCAGCCGCTCGCCGCCTCTTCGACGAGGCCATGCCTTCCCGCGACGTCGTCTCCTGGAACTCAATCATCGCCGGCTGCCTCGCGCACGGGGATTTGGACGCCGCCTCCGCCTACTTCGCCTGCGCCCCGAAGCGCAACGAGGCCACGTGGAACGCCATGCTCGCGGGGCTCCTCCGGCTCGGCCGAGCGGATGACGCCGACAGGCTGTTCGGAGAAATGCCCAAGAGGAACGTGGTGTCGTACACAACCATGGTAGACGGGCTCGCGCGGCGCGGTGAGGTTGCGAGGGCGCGGGAGGTGTTTGACGCAATGCCAGACAGGAATTTGGTGTCGTGGGCGGCCATGATCAGTGGGTATGTTGAGAACGGCATGTTTGTCGAGGCGACGGAATTGTTTAAAGCGATGCCCGAGAAGAATGTTGTGGCATGCACTGCGATGATAACTGCATACTGCAAACAGGGGATGTGGAGAGCGCTAGGAGGCTGTTTGATGGGATTCGTGCCAAGGATGTCATCTCCTGGAATGCCATGATCGCTGGTACGTCCTACATGTTGAATCCTCTTTCCTATGATTTCATTTTGGCTAGATTTTCAAGCTGTAGATGAGGCTGCGCACCCGCATTCCTCAACTACTTGTGTCATCGCGTTGCTTCAAATCATAGATAATAAGCTTTGAAGAATGTTTATGTGCAATAAACTTCTTGTGAATTACAGTTTACAAAGTGTACACCTACTAATGCTTGTAATACTCTGAAGTTATAACTTGTCTTGGGAATCTTTAAGTGTATGATTGCCATGTTTTATTTGACCTTAACAACTTTAACTTTTGTGCATTCATGCTTCAGTTTCTTTTTCGTTTATTCAATTAAAAAAAGAAGATATACTTGGTGAATGCAACAGTCACGTTGGACAAACTGTGGAATTTCAAGCTTTTAGCTCATGTTTCATTGTTATTGATTCAGTGATTCAGATAATCCTGTCGATGCATTTTTTTTTGTTAAAGAAGGGGATTTATAGTAAACAAGAATAAAATATAAAGATCATGCATTTATCCCTTTTATTAATTGTGCTGCTGATCATGCAATGATAGAACCCTCACGGTTCACTTCTCCGTATTTCTGCAGGATATGTTCACAATGGACACGGGGAAGAAGCCATGAGATTGCATGCTGTAATGTTCAGAGAAGATGTAAAACCAGATCATGCGACTCTTATTGCAGTCCTGACAGCCTGTTCTGCTCTTGCTTTGCTCAGACAAGGAAAATCCACACATGCTATTGCCATCAAAGCAATGCTAGAATCTGGCGTCTCTTTTTCTAATGCCTTGATGACAATGTACAGTAAATGCGGTAATGTGGGTGAGTCAGAGTTAGTCTTCATCAATCTCAGAACCAAGGATATTGTTTCTTGGAACACAATAATTGCTGCATATGCACAACATGGTAAATATCAGAAAGTTATAGCCCTGTTCCATGAGATGGAAGTGACTGGACTTATTCCCGATGATATCACCTTCCTTAGTGTGTTATCGGCATGCGGGCATGTTGGCATGGTGGATGCCAGCTTGAAATTGTTTGATCTGATGTCATCTAAATACGCCATATCCCCAAGAGCTGAACACTATGCTTGTATTGTGGATATATTGAGCCGAGCAGGACAATTGGAGAAAGCTTCTAGTTATATAAAAGATATGCCATTAGAAGCTGAGAAAAATGTATGGGGTTCTTTGCTTGGAGCATGTCAGATACATGGTAACGTGCAGCTCGGTGAACTTGCTGCTAAGATGCTTGTTCAGTCAGACTCTGAAAGTTCAGGTCCTTATGTGATTCTTTCGAATATATATGCTGCTGCTGGCATGTGGGGTCAAGTCAATCAAGTAAGAGGTCAGATGAAAGAAAGAGGTGTGAAGAAACAACCTGGATACAGCTGGACTGAGATTGCAAATGAAGTTCATATGTTTGTGGGTGGAGATGCATCTCATCCAGAGATGAGAAAGATCATATCTGAGCTGAGAAAAATCAGCTTTCATATGCGAATGGTCACCAATGAAGCTCATATAATGGTAGATCTGGCACAAGAATGTGGTTAAAGGGCGTACCCAGTGCAGAGAGCTCCCGCTCTGTGCGGGGTCTGGGGAAGGGTGTCAGTGGCAAGCCTTTACCCTCGCTTGTGCAATGCGAGGAGACCGCGACTCGAACCCGGAACCTTCCGGTCACAGGCGGTAAGACTCTACCGCTTGCACCAGTCCCGCCCTTCTAGGCACAAGAATGTGGTTACTTTTCATAATCTTAAGTGCCATGCCATTTGAAACATCCACTCTACTCAGTATCCTATGAGTTCAAGGATCAATTTTTTTTGGAGTACAGGCGTGTTTGGATTCTTTACAGGTTACTGTGCTGCCTAGGTGGGCAAGGGGTTCGCGTGGAATCAGAGTTTGGTTCCCTGGTTAGCATTGCCTTGGTGCCTGTGCTTTCCAGATTTTCCTTGCTAACAAGAGTGAGCCAATGCTGCTCACCGTCATGGGCAAGGTTATGCTTGCCTGGCAAAGCTAGCTGTAGAACTAAACTTGCCCTAAACTCGGCAAAATGGAATTCCAACAATCCAGCATGTCCTTTAATCAGACAAGTTTAGTGGCTATTGTAATGATGACACTGGATTCTTTGCGATAAAAGAAAAGGACTCAAGTTTGAAAACTTGATGGTTGGAGCTGCAAATTAGAAGGAGCAGTTCTTAAAGGTAATAATTGTATTCGTTTGTGTTGTCCTCGGAACTTCTAGTGTTTTAGACAAAATCTAGATCCAACTTACTTTAGGCATATTTTCAGGTTTCACAGCAATATCCAGGAAAACTGCAAATTACCTAAAGGAAAGTGATACGGTTCTTCAGACAGTGTTGTACTGGTCCTCCACAGACCTTTGTAGTTTTCCTTAAACCTCGTAATGAACTTTTACTTAGGCCTATTCGGATGGTGGGGGATTCCACTGTTAGATCACAGACACACATAATTAACTTGTAAATATGCTCTTTGGAGAACCTTGACACAAGTTCTTTCAATCTCGTCATTAACTGTATTAATCAACGTATTTCTCAGAAAGATAAGGTAATTTGGGCATACTGTAATCTGGGAACATGGGCTGCTTAATTGCATATAGCAGGCCAAGATTTTATATAGAGATTCAAAAATGCAGAAACTTATAAAACCATAAAAGGCTATGACACTTTCTTATTTCATTCTCTGTATTTTTACATGTATGTTCCATTCTTTGTAGTATAAATCCATGGCATGAAGTAAAAGGGAAAAAGGTTACCCCACACAGTCGTCATTGTAAATCTTTGCCATTCCAGCTGTCCTGTGTGCTCAGTGGATCTGAACAATCAAAATCGAAACTATACTGCTTTCAATTCACAATACTATATTACAATTTAAGAGTTTCTTTTCTTCATTATTTCACCAAATCTTCTGAGAATTGTCTTCTTTTTCTGCTTTCCAGGGTTTTTGATGTCGTCTGGTTGAGTAGATCTTTCGACATCAGAATACACATCATCTGCTGGCACAGAATTTTCTTTCACCTTGCTTCCCTTGGCATCACGAGGTGATGCTGTTGCTGACGTTTTGGTCGATTCGGAACTGAACATAGCATCAATCATATCCTTCAATTCTTTAATGCTACTATGTGCCACAGCCTCACTGATCTTGAGGGATTCATATTCTTGCTTGATACTCTGCAAGATACTCTCTTTCTCAAATATCTGTTCATTAAGGCGAGAGTTCTCCACTCTGGCAATCTCCAGTGATTCCCTTGCTACGTTAGCTTCGCCCACCACGTGCTTAAGCATCTCCCTCAGCCGAGAATTCTCATCTCTGACCACCCTCTGTGATTCAATCAGCTTATCATTCTCTTCCTTTCCTTTACTTAGGTCCTCCTCAAACAGCTTGATGCAATCAACGAGGCCCCTCTCTTTTTCTTTTGACGCCGCTGCCAATTCATCTGACTCAACTTTTAGTCGCTCTGCCTCTTCCAGTGCCAACTGCAGCTTGCCCTCTGTGCTTTCTAGCGAGGCCTTCAAGCTCTCCACTTCGACCCTTGCATTATTCAACTCAGCTTGCACCAATGAAAGCTTCGCTTTTGTTTCTCTGGCCTCTGTAGTTTGTTCATTCAAGGCTATGGCCAAGTCATCCATGGCCTTCTTGCACTTCTCCTCAGATTCCACAGCTAACTTGAGCTCACGCTGTAGCGACCATGTCTCAACCTCTCCAGGGTCGGCAAAGGAGAATGACATCATACCCCTTCTCCTGAAATTCCTGAACATCTGCCTACCCGGATTAGAGCTGTTGGTGCTGTCTCGTAGCGAAGCTATCTCAATCTTGGCCTCCTCCAGAGATACCTTGGTCTGCTCAAGCTGCTCTGTTTGGGCCTCCAAAGACAGCAGCATCTTCTTCTCTGAATCTCTTGCTGCCTCCAGTTCGCCTTCCAGGTGCTGTAACCTGTCTGCAAGGTCCGACTGCTCTTCGCCTCCATTGCTCTTCAATTTTTTGTTCCTACTATTCTTGTTCGTCGTCCTGAGCTCTTGTATCTCATCTAGGGCACGTGCCTTCTCCTCTCTCTCCTTCCGCAGCTCCTCATGCAGTCTGCTCAACTGTTCCTGCACGTCTGATTCCTCCATGAAACCTTGGTTGGGGACTCTGCTGCCATTGAAGGATGACCTGAGGCTGACAACGTCAACAGAAGCACCACTCATGTGAGTTCATGGATTGGTGACAGGAATCGATACAAGAAAGGGAAAAGCAACACAGTGAAATGAATCAGCAGAGATCTAATGCTCAGTGAAGATCGGCTAGTGACAAACATGATCGCATAATCTGATGAATGAATAAGAAAAAGTAGGGAAACTAGTATCGAGTGCGTGCGTATCTACCTGGACTTGAAAGAAAACATATTCTCCAACCTAGAACCCTGGAGGATGCAGCAGCCAGATTCAGAATCAACCAACCATACCACTCGCGGTGGGCCTATGAAGCCGCAACTTTTATGTCAGAGATGATCCGGTGGCGAGCCGGAAAGTTGGTTCACGCGCATAGGAGACCAGTAGGTTGTATGTTGGAGCGAGGAATTTTCTCTTTTGGTGTCGTCAGAGGAAAGGTGAAGACGAAGACGAAGCCAAGTCTTATTGGTGAAGGATTGTGGCGTGGGTCGGAACTGAAACGGTCGAACTCTCAGCCCCTCAGGAGAGGAGCCGGCTTGAAGATGGAGGGGTCAGGTGGATACGAGTCGGCGATGGTCAAGACGTGTGGTTTCTTTAGATTTTTTCTTCCTCTTTTGGTGCCGGTTACCGAAAGGTCCTCTGACCTTGACGTCCTACGCTTTGCTGGGCCCAGCAGTCAGCCTGTGAGACTCTTTTTCTCTTTTAAAAATAAATAGAGGAGCCGGTGCGGTGAGACTATTGCTTGACTCGCCTTACGCGGTTCAGGATGGCAACAATGACACCTCCAGCTCTACTAGGTAAATGAATCCTCCGTTCTATGCGGCTCGTCATGTCTTCCCCTTTCTCGGCCGTTCCGGGCACAATCAAGAATTGATTTGTATTTTTTCTTGCCAAAGAAAAGGAATCGTTTGTTTTGGTAGTTCGTTAGTAGCGTGCACGTATTGGCCATATGGAATTGACATTCTTGGAAAAAGGAAATGCTGGAGGAATGATTTGCACGTACTATGTGTTTTATGTGCACATTTGATACCTGACAATTTGGCCGGCTTTGCTCCCCTTTTAACACTTAACGTTTTTGCAAGATAATATGTGTAGATAAGGATGCGCTGGCCCAAATCAATTGTTGGCAGCTGTGGAGGGTGATTAAGCTTGCGTGTACGCAAATGACGTTTAAAGCCCTCATTCAGTTTGCACATTTGTCATGAACCCCTCACTGGCATAAAAAGAGCCGTATTTTAACGCTCCGGTCTCTCCATCTTCCACCACTTGCCGCTGGTTTCACCATGTTGAGTTGAGATCACTGGCCTGCAGCTCCTGCGAAGGAACCGAGCAGTTTTAGCGTGAAGGATTGTCGTTATCAGTAGGAGGCAAGCAGGCAATCATGCATGCCGTCTCAGTCGCTGCGAGGGGCGAGCATGGACAACGCATTCTTGTTACTGTGGCTCATTTTCGTGCAAAAACCGTAGCGACGAACCGTGAGTCCGTGACTTTTTGTCTAACACTCGGCCCAGGTGCCGTGCGGCCCACATGTGAGTGACATACTGACATTGCGTACGTACACCATAGGATCCTGTCGCGTGCAAACCCGGCTGGTGCTTCGTCCCATTCCCTCTTTTTCTTCTACCTCTTTTATCTATCTTAAAGGCCTGGCTGGATTGGTGTCCAGTCGGTAAAACTATTTAGTGTACAATACAGCAGAAAAGTCAGTCTATTATTTTTTTTAAAAATTGCACAGTACAACGTCAACGCCCACAATACGCACGCACACTCACCCCTATGAATACACGTACACAAACCCTACCCCTATAAACACTTTTGAAGGATTGAGCCAACAGATTTTGAAATTCACGAAGTCAGCATTTAATTGTTGAATGACATACGACTATATACGATAATTGATGAAAATTATTGTTTATTTGAGATTTCTCTTATGCTCTCCATCCGTTTAGTAAATTACTACTCTCACCGTCCTAAAATATGTGCACATCTCGTATTTTAAGAAGTTAACTAATTTTAAGTTTAGCTAGATTTATAGAAAAATATTATTGATATTTGTATCTCCAAATATGTTTATTATGGAAATATATAACATGATTAATCTAATAATGTTTATTTGATGATATCATAAATATTAATATATATATATATATATATATGTTTAAAGTTAAGGTTCGTTGACTTCTAGGAAGGGATATAAAATGTGCACTTATTTTACGACATACACGACATCTTTCCCTCGACCCTCTCCCTTTCACATGTCGTATAATAAGTGTCGGTGTAGAAAGTGACCAACAAGTAAATATTTGTAGTTTTGCTGTACGTTGTGATCGGAGGTGGCTTAGCACTCAATGACACACGATTTATACTGGTTCAGGCAACGTGCCCTACGTTCAATTCGAGTCGGTCGGTGACTTTATTCCTGAGCCCAGGTGCTCGAAGTTTGCAATGGGGTTACAAACGAGAAGAAGAAAGATAGAGAGTACAAGAGGTCCGGTCAGACTCCGGTCGGAAGGGCCGAGAGCGATAGGAGCTCCGCTATGAGCTAAGTGTTTAAGCATGTGCTTGAGGTTCGAACCTGACGGTTCTGTGGTTGCGAACTAGTGAACTTGATCGATCTAATGAATTTGGAATCACTTGAATGTTGGGAGAGAGCGCACCCCCTTTTATAGATGAAGGGGATGGCCTTACAAGTGAGAGGAAGAGAGTACGTATGCTTCTAAGCCTTGTTGTTGCCCGCGGCAGATGCAGGATGGTGGTAGGCGCCCACACTGGCTACTTTCTCGATGGGGCTTATAAATTGGATGTCGGATGCACGTAGGAGGTTGCGTCGTTTTCTTCGGGTATGGTAGATGTTGGTACCTGCTATACTGTTGATGCCCAGAGGCATGTGAGTGGTTTCACCATGTTCACTCGGTACGATAAATGCCGGCGCCCACAACACCGTTGATGTCCAGAGGCATGTGGGGGGAGCCTTACCGTATGGGAGTTAATGGTGCCCACAATACTGTAGAAAAATGTCGGCGCCTACAACACTAGGGGAAGCTTATGGCGCTTCTCGATACCTCGGTAAAAATACCGGAGTTTGTTAGTGTCGAGAGGTTTGCAGATCTTTCATGTCTGCGAAGTGTACGAGGATATGGTCCCTGGTAGCGTGGTTTGACTTGTGCGCCTTGCCTTTGCTTTCTTCGTGGTTCGTTCTCTGGTCTCCTTCCGGCGGAAGGCGCCCCTTGGTCGGTTGGTCCCGATCGGCTCTGGTTGCGCTAGTCGGAGAAAAAGAAGCGATGAGCTAAGAATTGGGAATCATTTTTGCGTACCAAGTGGTCGGAGACGTGGGGTCGAGGTCGGAAGTAGTGCTTTGGCCAGCAAAATTATGGCCTTGCGGTGAAGATTCTCGATTTGTCTGAGATTCAATAGGATTATTAAAGGAGATGGAAGTGAAGCGCTCGGTCGGAGAGGTGGGCGGAGTCAAAAGCGCAAGGAGCGATTCCTCCTCGGCTAGGCCTTCCGATCGGTGATTGGATCGCCCTTACGGCTGTTGTTACGATACTTGGGCGGCCCATGAGTTGCGTTAATCTGCTTGCCAAGCCTTTGTTGGGAAGCCGGTCCACGAGGGATCCGGGTTTATGAACCCGTGCAAAAGAGCCCCCGAGCCCCGGCGATGATTCTGGCGAGAATCGTCTCAAAAGATTTTTGTCTTAACGGCGGAGTGATAGTGATGATGACTTGCTTCTTACAATACAATTGTGTAAATTACCGAGCCCCTAGGCAAAATTCGGGTACAAGAATCGTCTGGAGAGGTTTTTCGTGTTGTCGTGAGGGAGGTTTTTTTTTGTGTCGGTAGCTAGCTCGCAAAATGATTATCTGCTTGCGAAATCATGTCTGTGATGAGCCCGAGCCCCCAAGGCGATTCGTGCGAAAAATGCAGGAGTGTTTGTTAGCGGGCTTGTGTGCGTGTTTTTAGTCGAGGCGAGTCGTCAACCATGGTGTCGACTTGACGCGAGGCGGTTAGTTTTGGAATCGGTGAAGGCAGAGCTCGTGGATCTGGCATCGGTGCGTCTTTGTGGGATCGGGCGAGCGAGAAAAAGCAGTTAGTTTTTAGGGAGGTGGACAAGAAGGGGGACGAGATGGACCTCGCGGATCTGGCGTCGTCGCGCGCCATGGGATCGGGCGACTTCGAGTTATGGCAAAGTATGGGTGCACGGCCTCGTGTGCCCACGCATAGGTAACCGAGGCGATTAGTTTAGTTAGTTTTAGGGATCTAGGGCGAGCGGAGCTCGTGGATCCTAGGTGGGCGAAGTTAGGGTCGCGGTCTAGGTAGTTTTGGAGTGCGATCGAAGTGTAGCAGCACATAGATACTATTGGGCGAGTTTGTAGATAATTTGGTCCCCAAATATCAAAACCGGGTGTTTTGTTGTCAGTCGAAGCGTAGCCGATGGATGGGGCGAGTTCGGGGTCGCAGACCCAGGTGTTTTGTGTCTTGAGCCCCCGAGCCTCGTTGGGCCTTAGTAGGGGTCGGTTTGAGTTGTGTGCGTTACCCCATCCTCGGTTTCTCGCAACCAGAGGGGCTGAGTTTTGTCGCTTGTCCCGATCGCTCGGGCTCGAGTGACGTGCTCGGTGAGTTCGCTAACGGGTATGATCGAGTGGAATCTGGGTCCGTCGTTCGTGATGGGGTCGGCATAGCCCTCTTGTGATATTCCACTGCTCCTTTACCTGCAACCCGGCAGATGTCTGGGTCGTTCCGGAGACCGACCCGGGTGGCCTAATGGCCTCCCCTCGATGGAGATTCTATGGCCTTGGCAAAGGCTTAGGATCGAACGAGAAGGTTGAGATGACCCTGTCTGCCAGACTGGGCGAGGGCCGCATGGGGCTCATCTATATTTTTCTCCCCTGGCTCTGTTTGACGTGGGGCGGCCTCGAGCCCTTCATGGGCTGGCTTTCGAACCTTGGTCGGTCATTGCTCATGTCGAATGAGGCAACTGCCGCTTCGTGATGCAACACGGAGCGTTGTGATGCGTTTCGCTAGATGTGCGATGCTT